TGGCTAAATCTCTTACTTTGCTTCTCCTAGTATTACTGTGGGTGAAGCTGGAGGTTTTTCCACTATTTCAAAATTTCAAATGGTTCTATGACTCTTTGCCATGGGATAAATGTCCATTATACAAAGCACTTTGAAATAAATACCTATCAAGTGTTTTAATTTAGGAATGACAAAAATATCTTCTAGGAGAGATGGAACTGGAGTACTCAGAGACACTTAAAGGTATATTTTTGTCTGTTGATAGGTAAATGCAGATGCAATCTTGTAGATAAAGAACCAGTCTTTTAAAAACACATGGGAAATTAATCTCTGTCTACTTTTACATGTACAAATGTACATCTACATACTCTGTTTACCTGGGATCCCACCACATTCTCTGTTTGTCTTGAATTTGTGATTTCTTCAAGTCCAACAGAGCTTTAGATAAAGTAAAATAATTTTTCACTGCATTAAATTTTCTTGAGATACTGAAAAAATGGTTCTCAAATCAAAATTTACAAATTTCCAGCAGAAAGGCAGACTCTACAAAACCCATGTTTTAGCAATTCATGGCCCCTTTGAAAAAAACTCAATTAAAACTTTGTCCCTATAAATCAATCCACCACTACTTGTTATGCACCAAGTGGATGTGAAGCATTGTTGATCACTTGCCTCCTAAATTCTCTAAAACACCTTTTGGGTTTTAGAAGATTGTAAAGATTTCTTTCTTTGTTTGTAAGTAGAATATAAAGATTTCTTTCCTCCAGCACCCTTTTTTTACAGTGGGGTGGGAATAAAACAGTTCTCTTGGACAGAACTGTTTGAAAATCTGCCCTTTGAGTTCTGATTCCTTCCCTTGTGTGCTCATTTAATGGCGATTTCAGCAAAGCATTGTTTCACTTGTTTCCTCATAGGAATGTCTCAGGGGACGATATTAAAAATCTTAATTATTACAACCCCCAGTGCACCATTGTTTCTTTATTACTGATATAGCCTTGAGGCACAAGCCAGGTTGATCTACCAGGAACAGATCAAAGGCCTCAATGTCAGCTGTTCTTGACAGCCTAGCTGCCTTCTGCTGATTTTTCAGTGGTTTTCTTTAACATTTTTCAATATTCTAATGTCTTTTCTAGGTGCTCACACGGAAGGTCTGGCCTCTAATTACCTTGATCTTCTTTTCTGAGATACAGAGAGGCAATATTTGCTTTTTGTCCACCTTTTTACAGCTTTTTGCTCATATTCTCAAAGTTAATTACTGAGGGTTTGGATCTTTTAACTGTAGTTTGATTGGTTATAACCAACTTTAATATTTTTCACTCCAAAATCTGACCTGTTCTCTTTTCCTACACTATTGCAGTGAATATTAACTTTCCTTTATATAGAAAGAAATGACATTTGACATGTCCTCTTTCAATTGCTGTCCTTTAAATGGCAGACCTGGCTGGATTTTATTTGTTTTTATTCCTAATATGTTTATAAAGTCCTTTCTTACCCTTTATGTCTCATAGTGGCCTCCTAAGTGAACCTTTCAACTGAAAAATTAGTTGTGGCAACATAATGGTTAATTCACCTCTGTTTGTAAGGGAAAAGAGGGATCTGGAGTGTTCCCTATAAAAAGCTGGGCCTTCACTTGTGCAAATAAAATTCTGGAGTGTATAGGAACAAGAAGTGTTCAGCATTTCTAAAAAACTTTTCTTTGGAATCTCCTGTTATTCTGGCAGAGAGGAATTGTATTAATTTTAAGGAACTATGTTTGTGCTCATGTAATATAAGAGAGTAACAACTTTAACTGTGTACAGCACAACAAACGAGGATCTTACATTCCCAAATCAACTGGCAAAAGAGTAAAAAAGCATGAATGTGAAATAACTTTAAGACAATAAATAAGTAACACAGAATCAAAAATGGCATTTTTAGTTTGATTATCTTCAGTTCAACCTAAGAAAATGTATCACTGGTATTTTCCCCGAAATATAGATGTAGTTTAGCATCCAAGATGAGCTGTAGCTCGTAGGAATGCCAGTCCCCCTGAAGTTTTTAAGAGCCTTTGACTTTTAATAGTGAGGTTTTAACCTCTGTTGTGGGGTTTTGAGAATGATTTTCAGGCTTTCTTTTTCCCTGAAAATTTTGCCTTCATCTTCCAGTACATTAGAGGGAAATAAGAACACAATCGGTGGACAGCAGAATTCCCTGGGAAAAACCAAAAAGAGCCCCATGGCAATGATGCACAAGGGAATGCAGCCAACAAAAAGAAACAAGTCTTTTTTTAGGCTGGAGTTTTTACAAGCACACTGCTTGTGGGCTTTGGTGTTCCGTTATTTTTTTGTGGGGCTTTCTTTATCTGCTGCAGACAAGAGGTCTCAGACAGCCCCTGCAAAGGAAGACTACTGTAAACTGTGAAATAAACTCTTCCTTCCTCCGGAGATTCCACTGGCAAATGAGCTCTGATGAAGTTTCCTCAGAGCTTTCTTCACGGTTTCTGCCATGACAAGGGTGAGTGCTTACCAGTAGGAAGCTCATTAAATGACTTGGAAAAGGGAATCTCCAGGAAAAGGCATAGCACTTTCTGCCTTTTGGTGCCTGGGAGGATAAAAACTTTCCTGAAGTCATCTATAAATTTTCTGTGCTTACAGTTGTAACAGATGATCAATGTTTTAGAAAACAAACAAACAAACAAACAAAAAAACCCCAACAACCCTGCCCTATCAAGATTGATTAACATTAGTTTGTTGTAGAATAATGTTGAAATTAGGCCCTGCTGTATAAGTGCATTAAAATACCAGCTTCTGTCTGTGTCCTTCAGGTGGTAAAGCCTCCTAACAGAGAAGGGCTGGCAAACAGGAAAAGTTTTCATTTCCCATTTGAGGCTAAATAAACAGCAGCCCTGATCTGATGCTGCCTGCAAGCCTCAGGATTTCTGGTGCCTCTAAGCCAGGCTTGCCCAGGCCAGCCAAAAACTGACCTCAGCTTTCCAGAGTTTCTTGATTTGTGTTTCTAGTTCTCACCTGCTAGAAAATGCTCATCTGCCTACAAGTATTCAGTTGTTATTGCTGTTTTTAATCCTCACTCTCTTCAGTAACTGCCTTGCTTTCTAAGACTTTCTTGCAATTTCTAGTCAACTCTCCTGATTTGTTAGTAACTGAGGCTGTTTTAGAATATATCCTTTATTCCATGCTCTTTTCTGAGATAATTTCTTTGATGGGCAGAGATCTTTGGCTACTTAACAGTTCTTTCTTTTTTTTGTGAAAAAAAATTGGGCGATACCAGTTAATGTTAGCTTGGAATCCAGAAGCCACTGATTTTTATTCTGTAAGAACAGGCTGAGGCTCCAAAATCAGAGCTCCAGCATGCACTGTATAAACTCAAACAATGCTTTACAGATGTGAAGTGGGTGCTACCCTGTGGCCTCCTATTGTTGCCGGCACTTGTTGAGTCCTTTGCATGTTCAGCCTCACTAAATCCCATCCATAAGCAGTATAATTAATCAAAGTATACACAATAAATGTGCATGAATCCCTAGTGTATTGCCTTGTCCACTGAAATATTATATCTTGTCCACTGAAATTATTATATGTTCAGGTGCTGTAACTCTACTGAGATCAGGACATTGAAGAATTTGGTTCAAGGGACTCTTCAAAGCAAGGTCCGCGTTTCAAGCCTGACTGTATTGTGAAGAGTTCCAGCAATCCTGGAGCTGACAAACCTGACACAAATGAGAGATCCATAGGAAGGGCACAGCTGAGATCCATAGGAAGGGCTTGTGCTTTGCTGCAGTTCCCATTTTTGCTCCAGCTTTGAGTGTTGGTGCCTTTCCTACAGAGATACCAGAAGAACTGATGCCTCCTTACTGCAGAACATTATGCCAGGTGAAAAAATTGCAATCTGCTTATTCATGCATTTAATTCCATCTAATTGTCCTCCTCCTCCTCTTTGATATCCTGGAATTGTGTGTTTCTGTCAGTAAAAGTTGGTCATGTGGCACTTGGCACTCTGTCACCACAGTGTGTCTCTCTGGCAAGGGGAAACATCCGTCCTGACGTGTGGGAGGGCCAGATCCTGGGATTTTCCAAGAAATTTGTTTTCCATGCGGAATTTCCCGTCTCGTGGAGGGCAGGCTACTTGAGGGAATAAAAGGCAGAGCATTTCAGAGTCCAGACACTTGGAGCTGAACTTGATTTTCAAGGCTGAGTTCATCCACTTAGCCACAGTCTCTGGGAAGCAGCGCAGAGGAATTCTGTCACCTGGACACTGCAGCTACAAAATGTGAGTAGAAATGGACTCTGATATTCTGCTTCACTGCCCAGCTAAAGGAAAACTGGACAGCTGGAAATCTCTGTCTATTTTCTTTAAAAGCTGCTTACATTTTAAAATATCTTGATATTAAAACCAGTTTTTAAATGAATAACTTGTGGAAATCCTACTTGTTTAAAAGTACATAGCAAAAATTGCATGACCAGTACTTTATATGGACTTTTGACTTATTTGTTTTTTACCAATGTGTTTCTTTGATTTCTCATAGCCATCTGTTTGAAAGACAGAGAAAACTCTCAGAAACATGATTTGCTTGCAGCTCCTATCTCTTCTTACCTATGGTAAGTGTGTATTTCTCTGTGTAGAAAACTAGTGGGATGGCAATATTAGTGTGAGTGCTCTCTTTGAGCTCAGCATCAAAGAGAATTTTTGAACCTGCCCTAATTAACCTGAGGCTGTGCTCACACAGAAAAACCTCGGATGCAATGGTGTGTTTTCCCTGCTTGCCTATCAAAGCCATAATTGGCTTCTGTAAGTCTCAAAGCTTTGTGTGATCAGATGTAGTTTCACAGGCTGAAGTCCTGGACTTGAAGCTGACTTGCTTGGTTTGAAGCTTGCCAGGTGATAGTTTATAAAATAATCACCACTAGTTTTTATGCATTTTTCAGATATTGACAGGTTTGCAGTGTTTATAAAGCTTAAATGTCCTCTTCTAGAGAGAGAGGAGGGGAAAAGTCACACACCAACCTCTGGATATTTTCTCATTCTAGGACTTACAGTGCTTCAGGGGGTGAATGGGTGGACATACCATTATTCAGACACAAACATGACCTACAGGGAAGCAGAGCTGTGGTGCAGAAAGAAGTATACCAACCTGGTTGCCATCCAGAACAAGGAGGAAATCAATCATCTCAATACCTTCTTACCCTTCAATCCGGGTTACTACTGGATTGGAATCAGAAAAATTAATGGTGTGTGGACCTGGACTGGAACTAACAAAGAACTGACAGAAGAAGCAAGAAACTGGGCTTCAGGGGAGCCAAATGGCAAAGGGAACAATGAGGACTGTGTGGAGATCTACATCAAAAGAGGGAGGGATGATGGCAAATGGAATGATGAGCAGTGTGAGAAGAAGAAGGTTGCCTTGTGCTACACAGGTATGGCCTGATAAAGGTCACTCCAGTGTGACCCTGGGGAGCTCAGGTGGTGGCTGGGATGAGTTGCTTCACTTCATTTAATATTTGCCTCAGAAAAAGTGGTCTTGGAGTTTCCAGCCAGCAGAATCCTTTTACTGTGAGCTAGTCTGTAAAACGTGTGCATTTCAGAAATTCCTCTGTGAAATGACAGGATAACCCTAAATAGCAAACCCCCTGATTTTCTTTTGCTATAGAAAGAGCTTGTTTAGTGTCAGAAAGATAAACAAAGTGCTAGCCAGGTTTTCTTAGTGGCTGTTGTTGATTCTTGTTGTTCATAATTTGCTTTATATTTTTTTTTCCAGCTTCTTGCAACCCATCTCTCTGCAGTGGCCGTGGAGAATGCATAGAGACCATCAACAACCACACCTGCCATTGCAACCCTGGCTTCTATGGGCCTGAATGCGAGTTTGGTAAGATTATTTCATCCTGCTTTTTGACCAATTTATGCTGCCTAGTGCTCAGTTTGGCTTCTTGGTTTACCTGCTCAGCCAAAGAGAGTGACTGTGTACCTTCTTGTGCTTCTTTGAAGTTGAGAGTTGTGATCCACTGGAGAAACCTGACCATGGGAGCCTTGAGTGCCACCATCCATTGGGGGATTTCAGCTACAACTCGTCCTGCACAGTTCAGTGTGAGGAGGGCTATGAGCTGACTGCACTGGAGTCTGTGCACTGTACCTCTGCTGGGCTCTGGTCTGCCCCCCTTGCAGCATGCAAAGGTGAGTTTGCTGCATTGCACATGGCCCTGGACACCTCAGGCAGTAGGTACAAATGGAAGTTTGGCCAATTCCTTTGTAACACATTATGTGATGTAGGTGCTATTTTATTCCAGCACTCAGGTCTCTGTTCCTGAGGAGGTCAGATGAGTAGGGTGAATGTTCTGGCCTTGTTCCTTGCAGGAAAAGAATTTTCCAACTCTTAGGTGGAAACAGGGAATTGGGATGACCTAGATGTGAGACTGCTCTAAATTACTCCTGACTATAGGAATAATTTTCTGAGGTGTTTGACTTAGAATAAGATACTTTTCTAAGCAAATGAAAGAATCAAAGGTCACCCAGCAACAATCAAAATAGGGAAATATTGGATTGTAAATAGTTGCTGTCATGAGCTAAGGATAAATTAAGAGTCTTGCCTGAAGAGCCAGTTTCCCATTTTAAAATATCTCCCCTTCTGTCTGCTTTGTAGCATGGTGGCATAGTAGTATGCCATAGTAGTAGCTTTTCTAAACCTGCTCCTGTTTAGTGGATGTGTTGCTAAGTTTCAGAAAAGAAAAAGACTTAAAATGGTTTGTTGCAAGCTAAGCTCTGTGC